GGCCGAACGACTTGTTCGTGTTTTTTTTTTTTTCGGTCTGGTGTTGCGAGTCAGGCCCTGATCCATTTGTCATTGGCACGAGAATTGTCCACAGCAGAGAGCCAGCAGCCTGAAACCCAGCTGATTTCATTGTCCGAGTCTGGCGATCTGGATGAGTTTTCATTGCATCTGAACTGGAGGCTGTCCAACTTCCTAGACAAAGTCACGGACAAACAAGAAAACGTCCTTGCCCCAGCAAAGCCCAATACTTTACATGGCCAGGATGTCAAGTGATAGCAGGTGGAGTACGAGTCTTTTGTGCAGTGGTTGTATGCGCCGGTGCCCCCATCTTGTTTTCTTGATTGTGTGGCGTCCCTCGCACCAGTGCCAGGATTCAAAGCTGTCCGAACTGGTGCTATCGCGCAGCAGCCGCATTCTTCAATACATTCACGGCATGCATGGGATTTGCTAGGCCAAGCAAATTGTTGCAGCTCAGGTCCGTTGAAGAGTACCACGCCTTTGGACCCTAGGCCGTTGAGTCCAAGCCTTACTGAACATGGGTGACGTTTTTTCGAGCAATCTGTCACCAACAAGCTTCAAAACGGAATAAACTTGCATAGTGTAGTGGCAGTGCAACCAGGATTTTTGTCTGATAATTGTTGTCCTCCAACCTCGCACTGAGCGAAGCAAAGGCAGAAGAAGGATTCCTAGTTTGGACGCCATCAAGGGGAAGTTTACATGACAAAATCAGTGGTGTGCGCTGATCAGTGGCACGTTGGTTCTTTCGAAAGTAGACACTTACTTCGCATTCGCATGTTTTTGTATTTTCTACAGACGTACCGGGTCTGCAGGATTTGAGTTGAGTTATCCGAGATATCCTGAAACAGTGTGTGCAGTTTGCCAACTCATCCAAGCGTGGATGTTCTCGGTGGGTTGGGAAGGCAAGAGCACCCATCTCTCTCCATACCAATCATGCCACGTGTGAGTTCGCCTGGGTTGCATGTGGCTGGCATGGCTGGGGATGGACAGGGATGTTGCCTACTGGGGATGCTTCATCTGTGAGTTTATGAGGTGCCGTGGTTCCAGTCAGCATCCTTTCCACGTGATGTTGTGTTACCTCGCCCGGATTGTGCCTTGCGCTGCCAGGTCTTGAGTTTTGTGTAGCTGGCGGTGGATTCGTATTTGTTTGCTTGTGTTGTCTCAGCTGGCGTCATTTTTGGCAAGGCGGTTTTTGCGACAGCTTCGGAAGAAGCAAAAGTTCCACCTTGCGCAAGGTGGGAGGACGTTGGCGCGGATCGTTCGCCACAAGGTGACTTGTTAGGGCCGTAGAATGATTTGCGCATAGTTTGCAAGCCGCACTTGGAAGTTAGCCCGGCAGAAACAACATCAATCGACCAGGCAGCTTCGCGCCCGGAACCAAGCCGTCGTGGAAGGTCACAAGATGGAAAGGCACTGGTTCTACAGATATCCAAATCACATGCCCAGGGGTCACGTTGGTAGTTTGACGAACGTGCTGTGTGGCTGCCATGGTTGACCAGTGGAACTCGCTATGATGCCAGGGTGGCAGCCCGAATGATCCTCGGCGAGGCTAGTACTGCCCATGTAGCCTGAGCCTTGCGCGAGGGAGAAGCAAACGGTCAATCAGCCTTTGTAACAGGTGCGATGGACCCTCCCAGGATGGAATCTGCTTGGCCAAGTCGGGCTCTGTGAGTGTCATTGCTGCTTGCGCACTTCAATTGTGATCAGATTCGAAAACGGGACAGCATTTGCAGTTTTCATTTTCACGCAGTTAAGGCATGGGGATTGCTCGTCTCAGCAGCTTCGTGGAGAGGGGTGCGCCATGCTGGAGTGCAGAGTCCAGTCGTGTGTAAAAGGAACTTAGTGCTCGAAGAGCGTTCGTCCGGGAACAGCAGTTCCAAGGATTGTAGCTAGATATAGATAGATGAGGCAGATGTCTAGACGTCGCAGATGCCATATGCGTGCACATCATTGCAAGCTTGGGCCTTCATGTGCATTTTAACTTATCCCCAGCTCACCCAACATATCCAACGACAGTTGCGTTTGCAGTAAACAGACTGAACGTGCCAGACTTCGCACAGACTAGACAACGTAGACTTACATAGACGTTTTCACTGGAGACGTGCACAACAGGTATAGTGCAAGGGCCACAAGATCTTGGCATGCCGCAGAGCAAGATGCAGAGGCCCAAGATTTCCACCGATCGCGGCTCATTTTACGTACCAATGGAAAGCAGAAAACGTTGCAGAGGAAGGTGGCAAAGAATACAGAAGGACTTCCATTGATTCGCCAAGGCAGCCGCGATACAATTTCCCTCGCTCAAGAACGAGATCTTCCCAAGGGTGGGATGGCTCGGCCATCTTCTGATGCAAATAGCATTCATGGATTTGTCAAGCCGTCGTGCTCGGCACTCCTAATGGTGCTTTGACAGATGACATCTCATCAGTTGCAGTCTCCAGGTATCGAACTCGGCCCCGGACTCCGGGTAAGGTGAGCGGGCATTCCTCTGGCAGGGCTATCGTGTGATTCTTGTGGTTGCTGTGTGATGGCAGATTCAAACAAGGCTTCCACTTCACCCATGATTTAAGATACGTAGGTCAGTTGCCATGACAAGCTCTCGCTGCAGGTATCGACCCCAGCAACAGAAGCTCCATCAGTCGAGTCTGGTGTTTCCAACATGGTTCAGCTATGTCAAGACTTACGTTCTCAGCTGCCTTTCAAATCGTGGATGGCTGTGGATGCTGCGCTCTTAGATTGGGATTTCAACAGCGGACTGGTTATGCCTATGGTTTCTGTACTTGACAATACGCCAGGAGGGTACTCCGGCAGTGGGTGGGTCAGCCCAGAGGCGCTTTGAAAATCTGGAGTGCTGTAGTGGCACCTGTGGCATCAGAAGTTTCACTTTAGTGGCAGTCGGGCAAAATGCACGAGCATGGTGGTGGCATTGGGCAATCCTGTTCTCACAATTGTTCAGTTGTTAGCGACGGGGATGATCCGAACCGGTTGGCAAGGAGCTCCCCCGCACACCGGCACCACTCCTCCCTGACTTGAACGCTTGGACCTTGGTTCATACAGGGGTCATAAGTTATAAGGCGTCTGCAGCAATGACAGGTGGCGGCAGTCTGCACACGTCATTCATGATCCAGCATATCTTGCCACCTCATGCAGGAACGTCCTCGGCAGCGAGCCTCATCACAGGCTTTTGGGTTCCAGACAGTGCCAACAGCCAGAGTGCTGCATGTGGACTATAGATCATCATGTTTTGCAATCCAATTCAGCAGCTTTGCGACGAACGCTGCATGTGCAAACTTGCTGCAGTGAACTTGCTCAAAGTTGGCGAACCGCGCAATTGTGGTCTCTAACCACATAGCCATGGAGGGCCAGGATGACCAGAATCAGGATCTGACCCTCTTTGTCCAGAACCTGCTGAAGGAGATGCAGGGGCGCTTTCAGACCATGTCAGATTCCATCATCAACCGCATCGACGACATGGGCGCACGCATAGATGACCTTGAGAAGTCCATCTCTGAGCTGATCCAGGAGGCAGGTGTGGAGGGTGAGGCTGCTGGCTCCACCCAAGCGGCGCCTGCAAGGCCTTCGTAAAGCTCATGAAAGCGTGCCCTGCGAATTCGGATCTCCCAGCCTTGCCCTGACCTTCGGGTGTCGGGCTGTCTCAGAGTCAATGAGAGCACGGTGGTTTCAGCTGCAGATGCTGCAACTTTTCCAGTGCTGCCACGGCTGTTCCACCAGCCTGAACGAGCTGTGTACTGAAAAGCAACGTGATAAAAAGTCGTACCTGTTGGCTGCCCGGCGGTATCCCCTTTAATTAACTTGTAGGTTAGCATACGATTTCTTGACATTTCCGGTCTGCATGCATTGCATCCTGCAGGGCCAGAGACCAGGCTTTGACGTCGAGCGTTCCATGCACAGGCCCCAGCAAGGTAATCTGGAACACATTTTGTCCAGGTGGTTAGTGTGCATACTGCGTGTGTGGGTGAGAGCTCGCTTTTCAGGCCGGAGGAGCGGCGCATCGAACTGAGAAGGCCGGGGAGTATCGTGCTGTACAGGAGACAAACGAGACAAGTAGTGCAGACGCCCCGATTTGCCTGCTTAGCTTCCGGGGGTCCATAGTCGCTGGATCAAATGACGCCAGTGGACAGGCAGGAGCTGCTGCAAGAGAATCAGCATCAGCGGGATCCTGAGAAGTTCGGAGTGCCGCTGCATTCGTTCAAGGAGGCAGTCCCAAATAGTAGACCCTGAAGGTAACTTAGCGCCCGTGCTACCCGTTTCGCGCCCTATTCCCAAAGGACAATCAGATATTATCAGAACTAGCTGTGTCGATCCGAGAAAGGCCATTTAAACTAATCAAGGGGTTTCGGTTTGTCATCGCACGTGTTGCCTTCGCTGTAGGCAGGAGATGCAAGAGTACCACTACCGCTGCCAGAAGCTGGACTCTCGCCAGCGCATGGGCTTCTCAATAATTGTGCTACTCTGCTTTCATGAGTTGTTCCAGCTCAGGAGCGGGAGCAAGCAATGAAAAAAGAAGATGTGTGGGAGGCCTGTACCCTTAAGATTTCATGCTTCCTGTGTGGATGAGTTGCCTGCCCTGAAGCTTCCATAGGTTTCATTGCCATTCTATTGAGTCTGACAGCGAACGCAAGACTAAGGCATGGACACCATCTCAGCCCGCCCGAGTGGTGGCACTGGCGCAGGTGCAGCGCCTTCCATTGGTTTCCAAGTGTCAGACACTGTCAGTTTTGCGTGTCTGCCAAAGAATGCATTTTTCCTTTTTGCCTGGATCCTATGCACAAAAAACCTCTTGTTTTTTGGCAGCCAGGCGCCGCCTGGTGCGGCACCTGCTCGGCGATCCAGTGCGACTGAGCGCTATGAGCAGCAGCTGCAACAGGTGGGGGACGCGCAGCAATCAAGAACCCAGGTAGAATCTTTTTTCCTGAGCCCTTTCTATGATGCTTTTGCCGGAGATACTGTGAGTTCCCAATCTGATACTGCGCAGAAAATTCTTCTGCTGGTGCAGTTTTACCGGTTTTTACCCCCTCGTGACTTCATATATTAGATGTCATGCTGACTGGTGCAAATAGTGTCGTGCAGAAACCTGCCATCCGAACTGCTTGGAGCCAGGCTCAAATCTCTCCTTTTTCTTGTAAACCACGGTGGCTACGTGTAGCTATTGCTAGCAGCTCAAAGTTGGCTAGGATTCTGGGAGCGAAGCCACAAGTATTTAGTGCAGTTCTGCAAAGCCGATGCCTGCCAGGAACTTGCACGTCAGCAGCAGCTAGTGGCTCGGCAAAAGGCTTTTCAGTTCCATGCCATGGAAGCCGCATTTGGCAGCTTCAGGCTGTATTGGATTTGGTGTTTTTCATGGTGCCCGTCTAACAACTGAGGAGTTGGAGTTACAGGGCGATGGTGCTGCCTCGCTCCAGTGGCTTCTTGTCTCATTGCACATCTATGGGTATATTTCCTTGAAAGCACTGGCTACTGGCTTGGCTGTTTGGGGGCTTAAGCGGCTTCGCACCTGCATCTGCAGTCTCTAAAGAAATAAACTTGGGTGCGGTGGGCGCCGTGGGCACGGTGGGCAACGGCGCGTTGTGGTGCCGGCGGTGCATGGCTGCAGCAAGTGCCATGTGCGGGGTGTAGCCGCCGGCCTAGGCCTGGCAGTTGTGGGTCAGACGAGATGTTGAGGGATGTTGAGGGTTGCCTTTCACGCAGTTTCCACAGCACCGCGCTGCCCACCCTTACGAATCTTTGGCTTCAGCCGGACGAGGTTGCAGCGGCAGCAGCTGCGGAGGCGCCAGGACGAGGAGACTTGCTGTCAGCCAAGCCTCTTGACCACTTGCTGGAATTCATCCCGTGATAGCGCGTGCATTCCTATTACCACTTTCCCGCTACGTATCATTGAGCGCAACACTCTCCAAGCAATGCGACAGGACCAACTGCTGCAGCAGCAACGCAACCAGGCCTTGCAGAGAGTGTAGTGCTTGCTGTTGGCTAAAGTTGTTGGCAGCCAGCCGGGAACATTTCATCTTGTTGGCATGCTTTGCTGGTCTAGCATGCAACATGGGCCGCTCAACAGGCTTGGTGTGGTGGGCTGCATGTGCGCATGCGGACGTCCTGCTGTCCCAGTCACGAAAGCTAGCTTGAGTTTCTTGCGTTAGCTTGCAACAAGCCCGGCAGGGTGGTCATTTTTGACGGTTTTTCAGCTAGACAGCAGGGCAGGGACCCTTTCGGGCGTGGTTTGGCGGGGTCGTTTTCCGACCCCTAATGAACACATAAAGAACATTGTATCTGAGCTAAAAGAACACCTCGTCAACGCTTAAAGAACACCTTTTTTGGCTCAAACGTGCGGATAAAAAAGGTGTGAAGGAAAGAACACCACCAGTGCATCACAGACAAAACAATACATGGTCGACCATCGCATGAACCCTGGACTAGCTTCGTTCAAGCTTCTTGGCCTTCGTTCAAGACTGGTTGTTTTTGAGTATACGTACACATTGTATCTACTAGAGTATAGCAGAGTACTGGCGAGGACCAGATCAGTTAATGTAGGCAAAGTCGCATGCAAATAGACATGCAGCTACATCTACAATGCATACTATTTGAGCGCCACGCATTTAGGTGTCAATCACGAGCTTATGTCCTGTAGCCTTCCTCATTCCCAGTAGTGAAAAGGGGGGAGAGTGCGCATCTGGATTCAGTTAGATCCTGCCCTAGCTTTCGTCCCAGTCCCTCTCCCGAACGCATGCGCACAGGTTCGCCTTCAGCAGGAGCAAGCAGACCTGGCTTTACAGCGCAGGCTTCGCGTGAGGGCGTGCTGATGGGATGTGGCGGATCAGAGTCTGTGGATCCGATGTTGCAATAAATGCTCATGATTGGGCGATGGCAGCAGCTTTTTCAATTTGGCCTTGGGATCAAAAACGGGATTGACTTGATTGACAGCAGAGCACTGCTTGACTGCGGAGGCAGCAAGAGGCCGAGACTTCTCGCAGCTGGGACGAGAAAGCATATCAGGTTTTGGTAATGGCTGGGGAAGGGTCACTGGATTCTGGATTTCGGTCTGGCCTGCCTGCGGCGCTGTGTGGAGACCTGACGCCGCACCGAGGTCAGCGACTGCTCAACCAGCAGCGGGTCCGTGATGAGGCAAGAGTTGCTCTCTTATCCCGTCTTGAAGATAGAATCCGATACCCCCAGCCACAAACCCTTACAGGAGTGTCTTGTAATCACTGGGACCTCTCCAGACCATGGCCAAGCATTCAGACAGTTAGCACAGCAGCACAGTCAACAGCTGTTGTAAAGCTCCTACTTGCAGGGCTGGCTCGCCACTGACCTTTGCCTCTGGCTCAAGGTGTTGAGGCATCAGCAGAGGCGGCAACCGCTCCTGCCCACAACCTCAGATTGTTCCATCGCAATGCGTGCAACGGGATGAGGATATATGATATTTGAGGAATTTAATATGCTCAGCGGGAGGCTTCGTGATCGGCAAATGTTTGTGCCCTTGAGACAACTTGGGAAGACTTTAGAAGAATCCGCACCTTGCCTGAAAACTGACTAGGCAAGACGTGTCTCCAGCACCGCCGCGAACCGAGTTTTTTAGAATCTGATGCCTTTCCAAGATTTTTTGGCGTAGGGTCGATCCCGTTTCCTCAAACATGCACAGGGCTCGACATGTGACTAGGAGTGTCCTGCATTCTTGGTCTGCTGGATAAGGGGAACAGGCCTCCAAAGAGTCAGCAGTCTGCGCCCAGGGCTGTGGACCGCGCAGCCTCGCCGCAGCCGGTAGCTCCACTGTCGCCCACAGCGCTGTCTTGAGCCTCAGCGTAGGGACGATCAGGTCGTTAGTTGTCAAGCGGTTTGGTGTGCAGTCTGGTCTGGTTTGCATAAAGCATTGGAAGTCTGCTACTCCGCTGCGCCTGATCTGACGGCATAAAAGCGGAGGCAGCACCTTCCAGCGCAAACTGCTTGGCAAGATTTGTCGGAGGTCATGGGCCAAGCAATTTTGTACACTAACCACCCAAGCTGAACGTGAACAGCTACCTCGTGTTTGGCAAGGAGAAGAATTGTGGCGCCAATCCCCAAGAGGCCCAAGGCTCCATCCAGGACGAAGAGGCCTCCAGTTTCGCCTTGTGGCCAGTGCAGCCTTGGTGACAGCTTGCCAGCTTTGATAAAGCTCAGAGATCTCAGGAGCGACTAGTTGTGCAGTGCTTGCTTGGGCGAAGGCAGTTTGCAAAGCGGATCATGCAGAATTCGTGACCTACCAGGACTTGACAAATTGTCGCAGGCTCCCCTGTCATGTAGACAAAGCAGCCTCTTTGCCACAGGAGTTTTCCAGCCGTCAGCCTGAGGCCGGGGGTTGACGCTCTTGAAAGTCCTTGACAAAGTCATGCTTTGCAGAGCCACTAGGGAATCACAGGATTCTTTGTTTTTTTGGCAACTTCTGATCATTTTGCCTCATAAACTAGTCGCGCCGCCGGTCTGGTTTGCATGCATGTCAGCATGCCGTGTACTGAAAGGGGAAGCCCAACACACCCTTATGCCCCTGACAGTCACTGACCAGAGGAAATCCGCTAACACCGACATCGCCCAATCTCCAGCTGCATTTGCAAACTATAAGCCTGGACACGACATTTCTCTTCTCCTCTGGTTGAATTGTTTTTGGTTCACCTACGTTTTCACGGCCTGGGTTTAGTCATGATGTGACGGTAGGCTCAGCTTACGCTCGCTGCAGGCGCCGCGCGCGGCACGTCTGCCACTCCGCCGGGCATGCCACGAACCAAGGGACCTGGAGGAGTAATTGGTGTGCTGCGCAGCCTGTGATGAAAGAGACCTTGGTTCGCTTCAAAAGTGCTACTGTACGCACTCGCCTGGAGAATCATTGCAGGAGCATGAGCGCCAGCAGATGTACATTGATGAGGAGCGCCTGCAGGCCACCACGCGGTTGCACGGACTCATGGAGGCAAAGGGGATGCAGTTACCTACATGGTTGCAGCATGTCCATCAGGTCCAACCTCCTTAGTACGCGGGTTCAGATTAAGGCTTGAAAGTTATGCATTCAGGCTAAGACCCCGAGCTCATTAAATGTGGCCTGTACCTTCGGAGCGCATCATAGCACCAGGAAATGGAACAATGGAGGCAGCAGCTCGCACGGGCCTTGGCCCCAGATTCGGTTCAGGATGTTGGGCCTTGCCGCTTCGGTGCAGGGCTCCATGACTTTAGTGCAACTGTACAGAAACAAGTTTGAGGGGCGTATGAAAGTATGTGAGACCACCCCGAGCGTTGCTTCATTTTCATGCGTGTCAAGTTGCTTCATGTGTGTCAATGGACAGGCACGTTGTTGCAGCATTTGCATGGAAGCCCTGCCGCCTAAGGGCAGCGCTTTGGACAACCACGCAGTGACTTGGCCGGAGCAAAAACTGGGCACTTGCTTTCGCATTCTTGGATTGAGACCATTGTCGTCGTTGTTGGTGGTGCTCAAGCATTTGTGGCAGATGGCTTGCCAGGAGAGAGTCCAACCTGAATAGGCCCACCCCAGTGTGTTTGGCAAAGGCGTTTGAGCCAAGCTTGTGATGCAGCGCCAGCCCAGGTGGAGGTTTGGCACCATCAGCTCTTGAACGGCGGGGCCAGATGCTCAGCTGACGCGTGAGTGATTGTCCCACATGCAGCCGCAGATGGAGCAGCAAGTGTTGAAAAAGGGAAGGACTCCTTGACAGAGCCTCTCTTGGCAAGCAGTATGATGCACGAGGCCTGCACGGACCAGCTCCAGAAGGAGTCGGTGCACTTTGAATGTATCGGTTCTCCCGACAACTTGCCTGTGCCTGCTTCCAATGTTGTTTGCTGCAAAAGTTCAGCTTTATGTTTGTATGATTTAGGAGGAAGAGGCTGCCAAGCGAGCAGAAGAGGAGCGGCTGGCCAAGGCCAAGGAAGCTGCAGACGCTGCCAGGCAAGCAGAAGTGAAGCGGCTGGCCAAGGAAGCTGCAGAGGCAGAGGCTGCCAAAGCAGCGGAAACGGAGCGACTGGCCAAGGAAGCTGCAGAGGTTGCCAGGAAGACCGAAGAGGAGCGGCTGGCCAAGGAAGAGACAGAGGCTGCCAAGCAAGCGGAAGAGGAGCGACTGGGCAAGGAAGCTGCAGAGCTTGCCAGGCAAGCGGAAGAGGAGCGGCTGGCCAAGGAAGCTGCAGAGGC